CACCCATAATACCAGCTCGTGTATACCGTCCTGTTATCTTATCAATATAATCCTTAAAAACAGGGGGAGCAAGGCTATTTAGAATCTTATAAACAAGTACCAAATCAGCATATTGAATCAAATGTTCCCAACTTAAAAGGGAATCCTTGGCTAAAATACTACAATGATGAAAACTATTTGGCTTTTTATCTAGAACCTTGAGAGTTTGTTTATATATTATTTCAACCGGTTTAAGAAATGACTTACATGTTTTTGTCCAGGTAGTCATTAAGTATGTAATATGTGGAACAATCATCGAGTGTTCATAAATAAAACGGCTGCTTAGTCAAGCTATTTCTAATAAATCTAAAATTTGCTAAATTAAATTGCACTGTTCATCACTTTCTTCACATGTTTTTTTTTAAAGAAAGCTGACAATCTATTATTATTCCTAAATATTTAAATTCATACTACCTCAAGTTTCTGTCCCTGGATGAATACTTCTGCTTTTGCGTTATGATCTGGCCTTTTAGTAAAAAACATACAAACAGTTTATTTTAATATTAAGATGTAAACATGATTTAACGAGCCATTGTGAAACCAAATCCACGTATAAGTCAATTTCTGTGCCGCCTGTTTTTGACTTTTTGCATGTACATAACAGGACAACATCATCAGCATTCATTTGACAAATAACATCTGGAGGACAAACATTTGGTAAATCATTTACATACAAACAACAATGGACCCAAAATAGAACCTTGTGGAACTCCAATATTATAATCTCGATATTCTGATGTTGCATTTATAACTCTTACACACTGTATTCTATTTTTTTGATAGGATTTGAACCGCATAATGGCCTCAGTCGAAAAATTTATAAATTGCATGAAATTTAAGACCAGACATGCATCACGTAAACTGTAAGAGTAAAGCAGTTATGCTTGATTGTAAGGAAGGTTGGGAATTATGAAATCATTTCTGTATCCAATACAGCTGTCACGTCACGTCACGTGACAAAAGAACGAAAGACTCAGACCCGAAGACTCGAGTAGAGAGGTGAACTAATCATTTCTGTTTCCGGTACAGACTTGCATAGCCTATGGGGCTGTCATGGGATGAACGAACGACTCGGACGCGAAGACTCGGGAGGTGAACTGATCATGTCTGTGTCCGAAATCTTAAAAATGCTGCCTTCGGAGGCTGCATTTCAAGGTAGGAAGGCATCAGGGCACGTCTGAATCTAATGTTAGCTTCACTTCCTCTCTCCTGAGATGCCTTCATCTGATTGGTTTTTGAAGGCAGCATAGATGTATCCTTCGCTGCCTTTGATATCCCACAATCCTGTGCAATCCATTCCGTGAAATTTAAGCTTAAGTCACTTTCCAGCAAGTAATTACTATTGTAGCAATTAAATATGTTTAGTTCTCACCAAAGTTCTCTCTGTTTTCCTGAAGGCTGGATCATTAATCCGTTCAGCTGCCTCAGAAATATGTTCGAAATCAGTTTTGTGAGGTATTGTTGTGTCCAAATGTCATTGCCTGATATGGCAGCGCGGCAACAAATCAGCTGCCTAAGTTTTCGGACATAGCCCATTTCTGTTTCCTGTACAGAACCTATGGGATGTTGCACATGTGCGTTCAACACAAAATGAACAAATCACTCTCTGAGACAACTCGCTCCTGAGTCATATTAAAGATTCGTTCAAAATGAACTAATCATTCATGATCGACCCATCACTACTGCGCAAGTGTGAAGCTCAACTTTTATAGGAATGAACTGAAAACACTCGCTTTGCTCCGCACCAGTGGGCACACACCATAACGCTTTGGGAGTAGCGCCACCGGCAGGCCGATTGGGGCAAGCCTTAGTGATGTTGTAGACGGGGTGGGTCCTACCATCCCTAAAAGTTTCAAGTCTCTACGACTGTGTCTGAAATCTTAAAAATGCTGCCTTTGGAGGCTGCATTTCAAGGTAGGAAGGCATCAAGGCACGTCCGAATCCAATGTTAGCTTCACGGACTGTCTCCTGATGCCTTCATCTGATCGATTTTTGAAAGCAGCATCTTGTATTCTTCGCTGCCTTTGATATCCCACAATCCTGTGCGTTAGATCGTGTGTGGATCATTAAACTGTTACGCTGCCTCAGAAGTCTGTCCGAAATCAGTTTTGGGAGGTACCTTCATGTCTAAATGCTGCCTGCAGAGTCATTGCCGATAAGGCACTGAGGCAACAAGTCGGCTGCCTATGCCTGGGACACACTAGACAATTTTTTAAAACTGTGGGAGACCACAGACATAAGGGTAGTTTCCACCGGATTGTAGCATTATAATCCTCCGGATGCACACACTAGAATTCGTCCAGACAGCAAGACCACACCTGTCTATTATAGTAACAGATCTCAAGGAGACTGGCAAGATCAAACATGACTTGAGAAGAAAAAGAAATGGAGGACGATTGACATCGTCAGCTGGTTCTTCTGGCGTGAGTTTTGTTTTACGGGAAGAAAAACAAAGGAGAAAAAAGGAATATGGATGATCTTCTTGCTCTATAGTCCACTTTTTGTGTTATGTTTGTGGATGCCAAGTTTCAGCTTTATAAGCACACAACATCCGGTTTGTGAAGCTTACTCGCTCTCATTGGCTATGCGGGTATCATGTCAGAGGCAGCACGATCAAGAGTAACATCAAACATGTTTATTTACGATTTGGGATCGCGATCGGGAGCAGTCAGATAAAATGGTAATGGTAAATGGACTGCATTTATAGCGCCTTCACAGACCCAATGGCCACCAAAGCGCTTTACATTTTTGCCTCACATTGACCCATTCACACACTCATTCATACACCGACGACCTTAAAATCTTCAAGATAATCGTAATGACACCAAACAATTGAGAATTTTTTGGGACAAAAAGTCAGTTACACGGTTGCAAATCGGACTTAAAATCTTCAAGTGTGCAGCCACCCTAAGTTTTCAGATGCAGCCTACAACTTCTTTGGTCTGCCCGATCGCTTTTAGGGCGTGGGACCCCGCAAAAACGGTTGACAGCAGCAGGGACACCTCAACCCCCCAATATGCAAACCAAAACTACACTCTTTGACGTCATGACGCCCGAATGCTGTCTAAAAGTAGGCATTTGTATGGTTCCGCTCCTCCCGTGGTTGCATTTTTAAATATTAAAAATTAGATAAGTAAAAATGTGTTTAGTTTGTACTATACCTGGTCTCACACAAGTGCAGCTCAGTTGTGTTGTGCTGAGTGAACGAACGCGGAGTCCAAGAGGCACATGTGTGCAGTGAAGCCCTGAATATATCTGATTCATTTGAAATTAAAACGATTACTTCCTCAACAACACTTTCAGCCAACGTGAAACGATGTTTGACACTCATGTTTGTGTCGTGAGTGACTCATGAGTGACACGTGTCAGTTTCCCTAAAACTTATCAAATGAAGATGGAAATTTGCTTACAGTGACATCTAACGATGAGTGTGCTCCCTTATATGCAACTTTTTTTTTTTCTGGCGCAAAAATTATATTTTTCATAATGAAATTGATGTTGAGAGGTTTTGATATATTAAATGAGTGACAAAGGGATTTCACATCAGCAGAGTACATTCTGAAATTAGGTTTTGTGGCTTTGTGAAGATGAATTTTACCCAGAACCAGAAGACAAAGCAACAATAAAAAATTATCATAATTTGAATTAATATCTGAAAGAAAGATCTTTTTGAGTTTCTGTAATTTCGGCACTAATTTGTTTAAACAAAATAGCACGATCATTCCAAAAAGACAGGCCTATCTGTAAAAATAAATAAATAAATATATTGTTGTAGACTAATATTGTTGAGTAATTTTACTTCAGATGAGAGGTCTGTACGCAGAAATAAAAATATATTATGCAACTTGTTTTGGTAGGATTTAAAAAATATATTTTATTTGATCATTTTTATGTATTTTTATTTAAAGCACTTTGAATTAAAATTTTGTATGAAACGTGATATGTATAAATTAACTTCCGTCACTAAAAATGACTTTTACAATGTCCGTTATTGTTTGTTGCTAAATAGGCTTGTTGCATAAACAGAACGTTCGATATTTCCGGGTTGTCACGGTAGGCCGCACAACTTCCGGTTACGTTGACGTTATCTCCTCTCAGAGAGAGCGAGAGAGTGATAGTTTAGTTAGACGGCAATTATGAGTTTCTCAAGACTAAAAGAAAAACGAATTAAATTACAGCGTCAATCCAGACGAACGTCTTTACACTGTTGTGTGCCGATATGTGGAAATTCGTCGAAATACAATGGAACGATTAGTTTTCATCGCTTCCCTGTGGATCTTGAGGTGAGATCAAAGTGGCTAGTCAAGATCCGCAGGGATAGCTTCACTCCAACTGAATGCACTCGAGTCTGCAGTTGTCATTTCCTTTTTGAGGATTTTGTAACGACGACTGGAGGGGAGAAACGACTAAAGAAAGGCAGTGTCCCTTGTTTGTTTGCCTGGAATGAGTTCAGCGTCCCGGCACCTCGGCTTAATGTCTGGCAACGTCGGCCAAGGCCTCCTTCCCCTGACCTACCGATGGCGTCTGACAACGAGGTGGTCACAGAGATGGAAGTTGTACATCGTGATCACGCCTACTGTGTCACCCCCACTACTGCACTTGTCACACATCATCTGGCAGATGAAAACGAAGCCCTGAGGAGAAAGGTAGAGGAGCTCCAACAACAAGTCCAATCACTGCAACTGCTGTCTCGGTTTGGACTCCAACACCTCCAAGGATCTGATGAGGATATTCGTTTTTACACAAGGTTGGTCCATGCTATTATGCAATTGTATGTAGTAGCTAACTCTATGTGTGTCTGGGTTGCAGTGGGGGTTATAGTACTGAAAATCTATACTAAAGTTAAAGTACAATTACTCCCTAAAAAATGTACTCGAGTAAAAGTAAAATTTCCTTTTTGAGAAACTGAAGTAAAATTTAAAAAAGTATGTTGTTCCATCAATAATATGTCAGTCATCATTTTGTATTATTATGAACATAAAGTTCTAAAGTGATTATAATTTCATTGCAGATTTGCATCATACAAGCATTTCCAGGCCTTTTGGCAATTGGTGGAGCCTGCTGCAACAACTAAAATGGTACGGATCACCAGTGTCCATGCTGCCTCCAAAGAACCTAGCCTTCTGAGACCATCAGTAAGTTATGTTGTTAGTCTTAACATTTGTTACAGTTTACTTGACATATCTTGACTGTCAAAGGCTCCATTATTAATCAAGGGTGTTTTCAGATGATTTGTTAGGGCAACACACATTAATACTACAGTACAAGTGATTTCTAGTGTGTTGTGTGTTTTTGTTTTTTAACAGAGACTAGCACCGATAGATGAGTTACTGCTTTTCTTGATGCACCTTTCTGTGGGCCTGCATTTGAGGGACCTAGCCAAACGCTTCAACATCCATACCACCACAGCAAGCAGAATAATTACATCGTGGACACATTTCCTCTATTATCTACTGGGTTCCATCCGCCTGTGGATACCACCAGAGGAATTAAAGGCTCATCTACCACCTGAGTTTGCTTTGTTCCCAGACACACAAGTGGTGCTTGACTGCACAGAAATCTTTTGCCAAACTCCCTCTTCTCTTCTTTTGCACAGCGAAGTCTACTCCCCATACAAGTCACACACCACTTTCAAGGCCATGATTGGCATTGCACCTCATGGTCCCATCACCTTTGTGTCACCTCTGTATGCAGGTTCCATGAGTGACCGGGAAATTTTTAAGCAGTCAGGAATAGCCAAACTCCTCACACCAGAGATGGCCATTATGGTTGACAAAGGCTTTCTTGTGGACAATCTCTTCTCTGGAAAGGTTTACCGACCTGCTTTCCTTGCAAGAAACAAACAGATGACCAAAGAGGATGTCCAGCAGACACAGTCTATTGCCCGTGTGAGAGTGCATGTTGAGAGGTGCATCAGGCGAGTAAAAGAGAACAAACTGTTTGATAAAGTCATTCCTCTGTCAGTGTGTGGGAGCATTGACCAGTTGTTCACCGTCGCTTGTCTCTTGGTGAATTACCAGAATGGACCACTGGTTAAGGCATGGGCAACACAGAAATGAATGGACTAGAATTTTTATGAATCAGTTTACAATCAGTTCCAATTTCTTTGTTCAAGTTTTATTGTTAATTTTTACGAATCTATACAAAACTTGAACTGATACTGTATGTTGTATGTTTACAAACATACACAAATGTAGAGATGTTATTGTTCATTTTTACAAATCTATATATATCTTTGTAAATGCACTCACACACTCTCTCACACACATACTTGCTCATTTGTTATTGCTGTTCAGTTCATTCCATTTTGATGGTCATGTATTTTTACCCAACATGTAATATAATTGTTCATTTCTGTTCATTTTTGTTCTGTTACAGTTAGTAATAGATGATTGAAATAAATAACATCTTAAGAGTCCAACATTTCTCTTTGTAACACTTTGTTCAGATTTGATTCTAAGCATAATGTAAAATTATTGAGAAACGTTTTTTTTGTAGTTTTTTTCTGTACAAAAAATGCTAAATTTTGACATTTTTTTTAAACATTTTATAACATTTAGATATGAATCCAACTTGTGAAAATATATCTTTCAGGTAGTCAAATAGTATAATGGAGCCATGTAGCTGTAATGTTTCAGGCAGCAAACTTAAAGTTTAATATTCAAACAATCCAACAATCGAAACAAGTGTGTATGAACACAAACAATAACCGGCCAGTGAACAGAGAAACAGGGGGAGCTTAAATACACAGAGATAATGACAAAGACAACAGGTGACGATGATGAGTGAAACACAGGTGAAGGCGGGGATGACAACGATGATGAACAGGTGATGATGATGACGGAGGATACTGGGAAGTGTAGTACAGATGAAGACAGACAGTGAATGTGACAATAGCCATCTAGTGGTTAAATTGATTTTTCAAAAATGGGCATAAATGTTACATTAAACCATTTAAAATTATCCATGTTATCCCCATGAATGAAAGTTAGATATCTGGGTCTTTTATAAAGTGAAATTTGCATAAAATACTGTTGTTGTTTTTTTGTTAAAAGCCTATTTAAATAAATATTTTTTAATCTATTCATAGAAATTTACAAGATATTATAAATCCTCCCAAAACTACACAAATGTTGAGGAAAAACATTAACAAACAGAGTAAAATTGCATTTGTAAAAACATTTTTATAATCCTGTTACAAAATTAAATGTTATTGTCTGGGGTATCTGAAGACCCCAAAGATCACAAGTGACAACATAAATGAGGGTTAAACTGATATGTTGTTTGTTTACAAACATTCACAATTTAATAAATACATACAAAAATAGAACTGATTTACTGTAAATTATTCTAAGAGTAACAGTAAATAGTAACAGTATCTATTTCAAACACACAGCCATGTAAAAATAAAAAAAGAAGTGATCCCCCTTCTCCCTAATGATTTGTGCAACCTCTGCATCTTTGTAGATTCTTTGGATGACCATGTCATCCTCTGCAAACACCACAAAGTCACACCACTCCATTCCACTTATTAGAAGCTGGCCTTGGACCTGCCAGTAGTAGCTGTGCTGCCGTTTTAATTGCATTGTGTTGCCATGCAACTTCAAGTACTTGCAATCAACATAGCTCTTGCAATTTGGACATTTAATCTCAACCAAACCATAGGGAGGGTTTTCGGTTGGGTCAAATACAACCCCGTCAGGAGAAGACCCTAACCAGGGGGCATCAGGGTGGATGATAAACCCACAAGGCCAATAGTTTGTGTTCTTGATCCTGCAGTACTCCTCAATGGCAACAGGTTCAAGTACCAGGCCCCTCTTCATGGCAGCAGTTTGAACAGTGCCCTTCCAAATCCTCTGAGCGAGCTGCTGTGCTGTACTCTCACCTCGAACATGGCACAACTCTCTAAAGTGTGAGGACGTTATTCGTGGTCGACGAACCTGATGCCACTCTGCAGACAAGCTCTGGTCCCGTGTGGAAGCCTCCACCTGTCTGGCCATTTCAATACTTGTCTGGAGGGAGACCAGATGAAGTTGTTGTTGTTCACTGCAAACAAATTGACAGGTTGTAGGCTCCAACCTGTAATCAGCCAACGGCAGAAGTGGAGGTGGAGGTGCATCTGAGTGCAACTGGATGGTCCTGGTGGGTGCTACTGGGTGCTGAGAGGCGATGGCACTTCCCTCCTGCACTTCCCCTAGTGCTGACTGGACTAACGGAACATCAGAACTAATGGCCATGGTGGTGATGAGTGGTGCCAAGGTCGCAGGGAAATCACTATACACCTCAGCCACTTTGAGCATGTCCACATCTGGCAGTTCTCCCCTCAGTGCTTTGTAAAGTGTGCTCCTGTGTACATGGTAACATGCTGTGTTTCAGATGTGTTTATTTTCATATTTAAATCATGTTTTATCTAAATTATAGAAATAACATAAAACATTATTACCTTACACCATTTCCAACCGTCTTTTGCTTGGGTTTGGCTGCCAACACGACCATGTCTCTGACCCGGCCTGGCTTCACACCCTGTTGATAGTAATGGTCTTTAATGAAAGCAAGCTTTGCACACATACCAATTCAGCTGACTGACTACACTATGAAACAGTGTGGTAAATAATGCTCTCAGACTTACCATAGACCTTGGCTTGTGCCAGCGTTGCTCTGTTTCAGTGCAACTAAGGACAGGGGGTACAGCACTGATCTGAAGCTGCGAGAAGTGTGCTGTCTGATAGAGCAGTGCAACATTGTGATTGCACAGTGCCTTACCAGCCACACATGAACACACAGCCTCATACAGTTGCACCGGGAATGAGTGCTCAAGTGTAATCTTAAAAAAAACAACAAAAAAAAACATTACCAATAACCATTGCCATCTTAAATATAGTACAGGCACAGGAAATGGAACAAAATCAACATTTCAGATTGTTAGTCATGGTAGGCTTAACCATATCATATTAGTTAACAAATGACCAAAAAAGGTCGTTTTTAGTTCTGTTTTTATAAACATTAAAATATGTTAGTATTACATATGTGAGATGTTAGTAGGCTATTACAAGTCAAAAACGTTACATGAATACTGAACATACAGATAACTGAAACTCCAACAAACTTACAACTTAACTTACCATACAAACTTAACTTAAACTTAACTTATAATAAACAACAGCCGTCACAAGCAGTTCCTGGAGTTTTCATGGGGGCTAGGTTAGATATCCGAGTGCTATTTTCTGCCTATGTTACTGATACAGAACCTATCCTAGCAACACAAAATCCCCAGGACATGTTTGGAGCAGAACTGGCTGGAACAACTGAACTATCTTAGATCCTACTCTGAGGTCGTGAGGTTTCTCATTCTTCCTCAGTGACCTATGGCAGGTAGCGCGGACGCTCACTCTCCCTGTCTCTGGCTCTTTGTTTGACACTGAGTTAAGAATAATATCATGTTATGATCAAAACAATTAAAACAATATAATATTCATCAGGCTCATTCAATGTTTAACGTTACCGGTTAGCAAGATAGCTCATAGGCTAGGCTACTAGACTAAAACAAAGCATAGTAAATTAACTTACCTTCGTAATGGTCAATGTAGCTGGAAATATACATTTTAAACCCCTTCTCCCGCTTGCTCTTTGGGGCTGATGTTGAGGATTGTATAATCCTATGTACATCGTTAACGGTAGTCCTTGGCAGGTCCTGCAAGCATCGTGTGTAAAATGCCATCTTCCTCGTTGACTAACTAAAGTTAACGTTAGCGTTCTCGCTCTGACAAGCAGCTGCTCGCTGTCAGACTCGCTCTGACAGGAGTAACCGGAAGTCGTGCGGCCTACCGTTACAACCCGGAAATATCGAACGTTCTGTTTATGCAACAAGCCTATCTACTAAATTTAAGGGTTGTCAAAAGAAATGTAACTTTTTTTGTTATTCTGCATCAGGATTTTAGGGTAAAATTGATTTGATTGTGTATGGGAATCTGTATATTTAGGTGCTTTTTGCCTTGTATTTACCTGTTTTCATAATGTGATTGTGTGGAGTTTGGAAAAACAATACATGATTTGATGTTGAACAATAATTAAGATTAAAAATATGAATTAGAACAGAGAAATATAGAAACAACCAACGATACAAAGTGAAACAAATTCATTATACTATGCATATTATTATTCACAACACTTTAATTTTATTATTGTACAATTATTATTATTTTTTTTAAATTTTGTTGTCTTTCTCCTCCTGACCACTGGGCACCAGTGTGGAGCCCAACTACCGTACATTCTTTACAGAAAACAACCGCGAATGAAAAGCACGCGTGTGAATGGTAGCCGGAGAAAAATAATACGCATAGTGATAAATATAGGCCGGTTTTATTCAATATGGTTCGTAAATTGAAATTTCACGAGCAGAAACTCTTAAAGAAAGTTGATTTTATTAACTGGGAGGTTGACAACAATTTACACGAGGTTAAAATATTGAGGAGATATCGTATTGAGAAGAGGGAAGATTACACCAAGTGAGTAAGCACTGTGTTAACAGTAAATATGTATCTAAAGCACATGTTCAGTCGTATTTTAGAGGAGACATATGATAGTATCTGTCTTCAGTCAAAACATGACTTATGAATGTAATACGTTTATGATTTCTCTGTAGATACAACAAACTTAGTCGAAATATCAGAGAACTGGCACAGAAAATACGGGACTTGGACGAAAAAGATGGCTTCAGAGCTCAAAGTACAAGCACTTTCTTGGAAAAACTGTAAGTTTGGGAACTTCTGAATGTTTAGTGGGTGCTTCATTGTAATTGAGCTGCAGTCACATCATATCTGAAGATCGTGTGTGTGTGTGTATTTCTCTTTTGCAGTTACAGTATCGGTTTGATTCCCACCAAACAGAATCTCTCCCTTGCAAACGAAGTGTCTGCATCTGCATTCTGCAGGTAAGATGCACTGCAACATTTGATCATAGAAATTACAGCAGTATATAGAACAAGTGCAACAGTGTGTACAGCATATCTACACCAATGAGCGGAAAAAAAACAATAACACAAAAGTTAACAGGTCAAATTCGAGTTTACAAAATAGTTTTATAGTTTTGTTCCTTCTTCCAGTTCCAATTAGTTATTTTTCCCTGTTTGCTGTTGTTTTCTTTAGGAGACGGCTTCCCACAATCATGCTGAAACTGCGTATGGCTCCAAGCCTAAAGACGGCCACAACCTTCATCGAGCAGGGCCGTATCCTTCAGTTAGAAATAACACTGAACTGTGTATATTATGTGTACTTACTATTCTTAAAGTCCACTTGTAGTCAATCATTGTATCCCTTAAAACTCATCTTAGATCATCAAAATGACATATTTATGTTTTTTCCTGTGAAAAAAACTTTACTCATGCCTTAAAATAGCTTAAATGTAACTCTACGACCTTGCTTCATTTAGTATACACGGATCATTGAATATGCAAATTAGCCCCGCCTCCACTCACTCACACCAGCTCAGAATACCTGATCCATTCGCTCAACTTTGCTGTAGTAAACGCTGTACAATGGCAAGTGGAAATACTGGTTTAATTCAGCCATATTTTGTTTGAACCAGAAACTGATTCAGAAGAAGTGGAAGAGTGAAGTATACATGCTCCTCTACAAGTCGATGTATCAGAATGGTAAATCTGTTTTATGTATCGCTCTTTACAATGTCGGACACATAACGGTAATTAATATGATTAGCCTTTTGATGGACTACTTTATCACACAGATAATAATGTGTTGCTATTGTTACACAAACCATGTTCCTGTTCACCATCTCAGAGTCAGACAGCTGCCTTCTGAAAATCATCAGAAACGCTCTGAACAACTCAGAACGTCAGTGGAGAAACACATATAGTTCATCGTAATATACATCATATGCATAATTCACCCACCATATTGCTAAATGGACACTATTTTTCATATCAACAGAAAAAAAAATGGGATAACCTGGCTTCTCTTGAGACTCCCCTACTTCAGAGCGGTCATAGTTAATGAAATGCTAAAGCCCTCCCGCACGTTGACCTGAGTGGTTACAAGGTACTATTGTGAAGTAGAGAACAGCTGCGATTTCAAACTCGTTTTTGAGACTGTCTTTGGTTCACTGCAGTTTTAAGGAGAAAATACTCAGCAATGGTGTTGACTTATGAATTTGCACATTAAATGTTATTCAGTTCTGAATCAGAATTGCTATTTTATATCTTCTTTTTTCTTCAAAATTGAGATATAAACTTGTAATTGCCAGTAAAAAAAAAAGTCGCAAATTACCATTTTTAATGTTTATTTCTGTGCAGAATCAAGCTTCCTTACAAATGATTTGTTCACTGTCTTTTCTTTCACTTTTGTATAATTAAATTTGCTTGATCCCTGAATATACTGGATGTTCATCTCATTTTAAGCTGTAATATCCTGAAGAAAATGAATTTGCTTAATTGTCACTGTAAAAAATTTCTTGACTGAGCAACAGATATTCGTGTTGGGCCTGAGATTATCACTGATCCTGCGTTTCTTGTAACAAGGTTAGTAATAAATATAACTTCTTTTTTTTCTGATGCCCATTGAAGAAATAAAAATCACACGTTTAATTTTAACATATTGACATTTATGAGTCTGCAGCAACTGAAATTTATTTTATTATTTATTTATTTACAAGTGTAGTTATTTTATTGTACAATATTGTTACAGGAGTATGGAAGACTTCATCACATGGGTGGACTCATCCAAGATCAAACAACATGTCATGAACTACAATGAGGAGGTATGTGGAAGAATATTAGGAGCCTCATCCTGTAGAGTTCATACATTACTGTACAAAAGTTTGGGCTCGATCTTTTTTTTTTTTTTTTATGTTTTTAAAGTCTCTCACTAAGCCAGCATTTTATTTGTCTAAAAACACAGTAAAAAGTAATATTTTGAAATATTGTTACAATTTAAAATAACTTTTCTTCTGTAAAATATTTTTAAAATGTAATTTACATTTGATACTTTTCTTCAGGATTTCTAAATGAATAGAAAATTCAAAAGAACAGCATTTATTTGAAGTATAGAAATCTTTTTTTTTTTACATTGCAAATGTACATTTGATCAATTTAATGTGTCCTTGTTGAACATAAGCATTTATTTCCTTTTTTAAATCCTACTAACTCTAAACTTCTTAATAGTACGGTTCACAGAGCTTCTCCTTAATCAAATGAATATAAGAAAATTATTTTCATATTTACTTGATAAATACCTCCCTGTATGGACTGAAGGTTTGACACTACAGACATGTTCTCTAAAATGTGTAGAATGTAATTGTTTAAATATAGTGCATCATATAAGCATCAGGAGAATCTAGTTTTCTGCTAAGAAATGGTTAATCTAAAAAAAAAAAAAAATTTAAACTGATTGCTAATTTAACATCACAATTTTGTTTGTTCTTTCAGCGGGATGACTTTGACCTTGTGGTCTAAATCTCCAACTATAAATCTGGATTTCAAACAGAACTGCTGGGTAATGCGTTGAGGAGAGCTGTTATTTTGTGATTCATTAAAAAAACAAATGTATATATTTATACCCTGTCAGACATCAGTCACCATTTATGATCTTTGAAACATGTGAATGAATGCATTTAAGTGTGACTATTTTGCATGAATTATTTGTAAACAATAAACCATTACAATTCTTTTGTCTACATTTACTCTGGTGTTCTTAGAAACCACCTTCACATTTTACTAATTAAAAATATTTTTGCCACTTAAAATGTGTTCCCAACAAAGATTCTGAATTGTTTCACCACCAGGTACAGATAAACACCTATAAACACCACATATACTTTGCATAGCTCTGTTATGAACATACTGAAGACATACAAGGTAACAAGTACATCATTAACACCTTCCACTGATTATAAATAAAGCAAGGTACAACTGTAAAAAGACAACAGCATCGTTATGACCTTGACAAAAGCTACATTCAGTGTCTCAAACAGAAAGGACTTTAAGGCCGGAACAGACTCTTTGGTGTCCGAAACATTTTTGTGAGTGAGGCCCTGAGAATCTCTGCCTGAATTTGTCATGTATTCACAGCCACCAGAAGCGCACATACACAATGAGTGTGATGAAAATGACAGCGCCGGCGGCCACTTTAGCATAGGTGGAGCGTGTGTTGAGATATTTGGCATCACTGCGGTACTTCTTAGACAGGCTGGACAGGTTACTAGCTTTGGAATCCAAGGCTACAGAAAGATAAGGCAGAAAACTCACTTTAATTGCATTTAAACAAACGGATAAGTCTATATAATGGTTTTACAAATAGTATTTTGAGACTGAAGAGGGATGCAAAAAGTGTTCACTCACCAGATAAGGCTTCTCCACGCTGAAGCACTTCCTCTATATTAGCGACCATGATCCTCTGGACATCGTGTAACTCTGAATTGACGCTGCCCAGATTTCTTCGTGCTCTGCCGTCGATGTATAACTTTTTGGTTTTCTGAATGTACGTGTCTGGAGACAAATGGGAATCATTTGGTCCACAATGTCAACCAACTAATTTGCCATGTAGGGGACATTTATTCAGTAAAACGTGCATACTACAAAGACGGCATGCTGAAGTAACCAGCGGTTAATGGTCTTACTCAAGAACACCATGGCAATAGTTTATACGCTACTGTTCAAAAGTTTGGGGTCAGTAACATTTTTAAATTAAAGAAGTCTCTTATGCTCTCTAAGTCTGCATTTATGTGATCAAAAACACAGTAAAACTAATATTGTGAGCTATTATTAATATTAATATTGTGAGCTACTATTATTAATAGCTGTTTTCTATTTAATCGTGTGATGGTAAAGCTGAATTTTCAGATTCTATGAATATGCAAATTAGCCCCGCCTCCACTCACACACACCAGCTCAGAGAATCACACATTGACGTGATTGGTTACAAGGTAGTTTGTGACGTCAGAAACACCAGCGATTTCAAACCGTGTTTTTGAGACTGTCTTTGGTTCACTGCCGTTTTAAGGAGAAAATACTCAGCAATGGTGTTGTTGACTAATGGATATGCACATGGTTTGTCTTAAAGCACATTAAAAACACCACAAAGACATATAAACAACATTAAAACTTGATTTTCACCACAGGAGGACTTTAACTGTTGAACAGTAGTGTATATAAACCTTGACCGAGTTAAATTGTACAGTCTAATTGCACTGATATAAATGAGATGTTTCTCACCGAATTCGATAAAAAAGTACGGCCGTGACACTGACAGGACCTTTGCCCCGTATTGGTCACTGAATTCTCTCTCCAGCTCCTCCAGATAGCCAAACACTAGTTTCTTGGGGAAAGCTGCTTCACATAAAGCCAAGTAACACACTCCTTTCTCAATCACATAGCTGCAAAACAAGATGGGTTTATGAAGTGTGACATCATCCAGAATCAACAACTAACCTTATGCTGGTCTATCAGACTTAGGCGAAATTCTGAATTGGAAAATTGGCCCCTTTCAGGTTCACGAGTCAATCTGAATTAAATAGGCCCCACGGGATGTGGAATTTTAAATGTAATTGTATTGACAGGAACAATAATTTACTCAAATGCAATGTAAACAGTCACACAACAGACACATTATCTTAGTTCCACAGATTTTGCAGCAAAAAATCATAACACTTTTTATTTGTTAAAGGGTTAGTTCACCCAAAGATTGTGTCATATTTTACTTACCCTCATCGTCCCAAACCCAAAGACCTTCATTCATCTTTTTGTTCATCTTCAAATGTGCTGCGTAACAAGAATGAACCGTTCTGGTTCTTGCAGAACACGAGAATGAACCTCATTGGTTCTCACACGTCAAGCGAACATGCTTGAGTTTCCGTTTACCACAACTGATGTGTGAGTTGAGGAATGTTTATATGTGAATACAAGCCTAAATTAAATCTGTTCATCATTTAAAGTGATCGTGTCTCTTCAGAAAATTTGGACTAAACCGCTCAATCCCACTTTATGAACTTTCTGATGCGTTGATGTGTCAGCGTATTTGTCAATGGAGGGACAGAAAGCTCTCAGATTTCATCCAAAAAAATCTTTATTTGTGTTTCGAAGATGAACGAAAGTGTTACGGGGTTGGAACAACATGAGGGTGAGTAATTACTGACAGAATTTTTGGGTGAACTAACCCTTTAATGAACTGTGACCTAACATGAACATGAACATTTTTATCAAGTAACATTTTCAAAGGTAAATAAATGCTGTAGAAATATGTTTACTCAATTGTTAGTTCGTGTTAGTTAAAGCATTAACTAATGTTAACTAATGAGACCTAATTGTTCTGTTAATGTTACCCAAAAATTAAATACTTCAAATGTCAACCATATCTGCATATTTATTGTGACGCTTCTCAAAACTGACTAATGATTTTTGTCCATTTACGCAGCATTCTTTCCAGATAACTTTAAAAAGTTAAAATTGACAATAAAATCTGCATCTATTTATTAGTTATATATTGATGTTTGGACAAATAAATACTTTAAGAGTAAATAGCAGAAATAATTCTGAAATTAGGTGTTCTTCCACTATGGTTCATAAAATATTAATTTATTAAATAAAGTATACTGTATATTTATTAAATACTAATATGATTTCTGGAAATAGCCAGTGTAAAACAGCATACAGTATTTATGTTATTCAATCTTACTCAAAATATGACAGCAATTTCTTTTATTTCATTCCATTTTAATTCTATTTCCTTGAATTAGAACTACAATTTTGCATCATGTTTATTAGCTCAGTTCAAGTGTTAATTCAGGAGGCACATTTGGTGTGTGTGTGTGTGTTCATGTTTATATTACATTGTGGGGACCAAATGACCCCACAAGTATAGTAAAACCTGAAATCACCGACATTGTGGGGACCAGCCAGCGGTCCCCATGATGAAAACAGCGTATAAATCATACTAAGTAATGTTTTTTGAAAATGTACAAATGCAGAAAGTTGTGTGTGATGGGTAGGTTTAGGGATAGGGGCAGTGTAAGGGGACAGAATATACAGTTTGTACAGTATAAAAACCATTACGCCTATGGAGAGTCCCCACAAAGATGTGTGCGCCTGTTTGTGTGTGTTGGCACTTACTGGAAGCTCATGGCACCGGCCTCTAAAGTGCAGCGTGCAGGACTCTGTTCGTTGAGTTTTCGGCAAAGCTGCTTGGCTTGACTCTGATACTTCTGTAAGTCTCGGCCAGACTGTAGAGATCATTACGTTAGTAACTTAAATGCCTTATGTAAACGTAGTCGGCTATATAATCGCAATGGCACAAAAACAACAACAATCACAAAGACTCGTTAAGTAACAAACTTCTGAATGTATCCCCTCATTTACATCATACTAAAACGTTTTGTATTTTAACTTCGTACGGATTGTGACGTTTGTTGTGCTGATATGGGTTCATTCATACCTGCTCGTCTTCTTGCATAGATGCAGCAAGTGGCAGACTGTCGGCGACACGAACAATCATCGTCTGCAACACCATGTTTGCTGTTGTCTTCACGCTTGAACTTCAGTCTATTTTAAAGTGAAGCAATTTATTTGACTGGTTGGCATAAAGTGACACATTTGAACTAACAGCAGAGTTCAGATGAGTTGGCCGGAAGAGGGTGTGTTACCTCAAATTCTTTCCGGATTTCGCATTCCAATAGTTCCGCTATTAATGCCAGAAAACAGCAACCCTAGAAAATTGGATCCTAGAAAAATATATAGACAAGTAATAAATAAACAAACAATAATAAAATGAGGTAGTTTGATAATATGTTTAAATTGTTAGGATTTTTGTGCCCAACAGAGATGTAACCATATATGTGGAGAAGGGGGGAAGAAATCCCTGTTTGGATTTAAATAGTCAGATGCTTAAAAAAGTCTGATTGGATCATTATTGCAGTGATTATGATATTTCTAGCATTTTATATGTTTGGCAACCGTTCTTCTAGCCCTAATTGATGGAGTGTGTAGCTTATAATTTAGTAAACAACCAACCACGTAGGAAGACTTTACAGAGTGCTGGACTCTTGCATTGTCAATACGATCTTGACCAAAAAATGATGCACCTCTTGATGGAAATAACATCCAATTATTTTTAATTTTTTTATCAATTTGGTGAAAACAACATGAAAGCACGGATCCATGCCTTGTATCAATGGTTCAGGCTGCTGGTGTTGGTTTAATGATGTTGGTCCCATAAATCCTGATGTACTCGTTACATCATAAGAAGGATTACCGCAGTCCGCCGGATCCAGGCCGTATCCAGATTTGATGAAGGACCTGCGCTTGGACACGACGACAACGCAGTCCTGAAGTGTCACTGTGAAGACCTCCCCTTTACCTCGGTACAGATAAAACGTTGTCAAAATAGTTCCGGATCACATGTTTACGCGGAAGCGATAAATAATTCTGTATTATACATTTTTAAGGTCAGACAAGTAATTTGTTGAGGTCAATTTGTAAAGAAAGACGCCTGCGAGGCTGCGCACATATATATTCAAACGCGCATACGTATAGACTAAACACGCATGTGCATTAATTTCAAACCCACACACATATACACCGTATACATGTATATATGGGCTTAGATCAGTCTCAAGGCTTCAACCAATTATTCACGTCTGTGGACTGAGTCTTACAATTATATTTAAATATTTTTTGATTTGATATCTGTTGAACAAACAATTACAGTATGGCTATTATAATATTTTTACAGGTTTACAGTATAAAGTACAGGTTTAGGGTTTTCAAAGTTTTTGAATATAGCCTAATGCTTGGTTTAGTTTTCAAAAACAATAAATATATTCGTTTGGTTACTAAATCTGCTTTTGTGAAAATACAACTTGGAAGGTATCAGTAAAAGATTAACAATAAAGTATTTTTTATAAATAAAGAAAAATGTTTGGTCATAAATGTACAAAAGTCTTTAAAAACTATTTTATAAATGAACAGTCCCACAAGATATGTCACACAGATATATTTGTATGTCTTTTAAACCCGTTTTTAAATAGATTCTATCAATCAAGTCATCCGTTGAACTAATCGCGCTCGACTCCTTCAGTCTGTGCACACTGATCGTGTCGCTCGACGATTCTGTTTCTGTATCGATTATTCACGGCTGTGGGCTGATCTGAATCGAGCTGATCCCGGTTGAGCGCTTTTTTCCTGATCACGAATAGCGCTATTAAACTCTGCATCTGCACTGAAGGTAAGATTAGCTGCATAAAGTGTTTAATTATGCCCTTACCCCATTCGGTGTCCATAATGTACATAATTCGAGTCAAATGTGCCTTTGCGTCGCGACCATTGTTGTTGTCCTGTTCTGGTGGTTCTGGTGAACATTACCAACAAAACATATCGCTAAATTAAATCGCTAAACGCAAAATTAAATGTGCGTCAATAACAGTTTGCAGCTGTAAGCGATTGTGACGATCTGCAGTGGAAGCGCCACTAGTTTAAGTGCTTTTTGTTTATGGTTTCGTTATGAAGTGTTTATTATTATGCACATTCGCTACTAGGCCACATTGCTCGTTTGCTACAAGATGCAATGTTAGTTTTGAAAGGGAAAAAACCCGTCACGGGTGCGCTCTGCTCTATGATGAATATTATGAATAATTCTGCTGTTAGTTGATGTTTCGTGCACAAACGTGTCGCGCTGTTAAGGATCTGCGCATGGGAACAGTTATCACTTGTTCTTGAGCTCTGTGGTTTGTACGTGGTGTGAGTTAACGGTTCTGCTGCTCTCACCTCGGAGAGCGATTAGTTCTGCCTCATTGGATTGGCTGCCACTGCTTGCAGCTCTTTTGATGCCACACAAGGGCCCTTTATGCGCGAGCGAGGCTCCAGCTGGACGTGCTGCATGCGTGCCCTGATTGGATAATGCTCATGCACAAGAAATGACGTCTTCGAATTATAAAAGTCTGCTCTTTACAAGACCAATTTTTAAAAATCACATTTATATATATACATGACCCCTTTTAAAGAAGATATTCATGCAATGTATAATGACATGCAATTTGACTACTTTTAGGGGTGTGCGATATTAACAAAATATTCTTTCACAATATGAATTATTTTATTTTGCAATAAAGATATATATTATGATATGCTTATCTTTGCTTTTGTAATTTTATAATTCTTGTTTACATTTCCAATATCTCAAAAAACGAATCCTAGCAGTATTAAAACAAACAAACAAGCATAATTACAAGCATATAGGAAAACAAACCACAATATAACAACGCCACACATAAAATTAGAAATAAGAAATACTACATAAATTGTATAAAGTAACTTTATACTGCATAGTCTTTACTGTGTAAATAAGGCTAAATATACATTTATTCTTATTAAAATGACAGAAGTAATTCCGCAGTGAGAGATTTTCTCCTTTTTGTTGTTTGATTAACATTAATAACAACAGCAGATACATTATATTTGGATGCTGTCACTTTAAGACCTGTACAGATCCATTATACTTGTGCGTTTTCTTTCTCAACTGTTAACGTTCACTTAAGACATAAATTACTCTGTTTACTTGCAAATACATAGTCACTTTGACACATAGGTATGTGTATTTAACCATTCAAGCCCAATAAGGCGGCAAAAAGCACTGTTTTCAGGTCTCACGCGGTTTATGAGCAGCGGCTTCATGTGTGCGCCAGCTGACAGCTAAAGTCTCTCTGACAGTACGCGCATGTCCTGAAATGAGTTGTTTTTCGCTGCTTACTGCGCTTCAAAGGTTTAAAATCACTTGTTTTTAAACCACAATACTTAAAAACACATACGATGTGAAACGATAAGCTTTTGTGACAGCGTAGCACAGCAACGTCACATGAGCGTAACTGCAATAGAGACGAGACGATACTCCAAAAATCTCTACTGGTTGACAAATTTCTACCGGTATCGCCCACCCCCACCCCTACTTACTTGTACATAAACTAAACAGAATAATATTGGTCATAAAGAGTGGAAATGTGGCCTAGTGGAAAAACAAAAACAAAAACAAATAATTACAAAGAAACAGCCAGTTACACTTGCTTAACACTAAATTAAATGTGACATTTTGAAGTAGAAACACTGAAATAGTCCCGAAGGACCACAATGTCAAACGAGGGGGGACACCCCCCTCCCGGATTCTGCCGCTAGCTCCCACAAAAAAACTAAATACTGTAAACATTTCTAGCTTTTTAAAAATATATATTTTATATGTAGATGAACTCCCCCCCCCCCCCCCCAAAAAATCACCCCACTCACTCTACAATGATTCATTCTTTCCCAATATACATACAGTATAATTTGAAATTTGCCATAACTAAAAAGCTAAAGTTGGGCTATAAATGATCTTTATACCACGCTTGAATGACTTGAACGTCAACATTTGGTTCTGACAAATTTTTTTTTATCTTTTTTTTTTAATTTACAAGTTGTAATGTTTTAATTGGAATAGTTTACAAGGCTGTAAAAGTGGCTTGATGAGTACATGAGTTTTCCAATTAGACATGATCTAAAAGGAAACTGGTTTCTTTACCTTGGAAACCTGCCCGAAACCAGTTTCCTTAATACAATAGAAACAATGTCATAGTCATTGAATGACTTTCTGGTTGTCAACTGTCCATAGTTAATGTGGTTGACTGCACCTGTGCTTACATGCAATGACATCTTTTTTTTTTTTGTGTGTGGCTTGGTGTCCAAAACCTGTGTATAATCTGTATAGGAATTGTTTTATTACCCCAAATATCAGCTATTATAATAGAATATGCGGAATCTCAGAATCCAGTCACCATTTTATTTGTGAAAACTATCATCATATACACACAGAAACTTTAAGGTCGCCAATATAAAAGTTAGTTTTTTAACTTGAAGAAATTGTGACAGGAATATATTACTATTGTACAGTAGAGGGTACTTCTCAAAGTAATAATACTTTAAAACACATTTTTTTCAAAGGAATAATAAAAAAAAATGTCTTCCATGTTTTTTCAAAGGAATAATAAAAAAAATGTCTTCCATGTTTTAATTTTAACAGTAAACCTCTGTTGTTCAGAGCTTTAAAATCATGCTTTAATATTTAACACCAATTTCTTGAATTAAGTTGTTAACGTTTTATGAATTTACTTGATTATACATGCTTCTTGATTATTAAGACTTAGTTAAACAATTAAAATTGAAAATAGAATTAGAAAAAAATTAAACATTTCATAGGGCTTTTTATTTTATTTTTTAATTTCGATTAATTAGACTTGCTTATTTGATTGCTTATCAAATTTAATATAACCATTAAAACAGTATCCAGAAAAAAATTCAATGGAATCCAGAAAAATTACAACTGAAAAAATGGAATCTGGAAAAGAACAGAACAGAATTAGCAGAAAAATTGGCCTTGAGCACATGAAACCTCGTACACGTTTATGCTCTGTGCGCTTAATCTTCACAAACCTTTTTTTCTTATCAGTTCATCCCACCATTTCTACTCTCTTTCTTAATTTCTAATGACATGCAATCTGACCTGAGATCAGGCCTCGCTCTTTGCACATAAACTACACAGACGTTACTCACTGATGTCCAAACACACCAACGTCCACTGCTGAGGCCAGTGTCCTATTGACCCAAATTCATATCAGCTGCTCAGCATGGAGGAAACACCCAGATATGAAGGTTAAGTTCAGTGTATATCAGTACAGATAGACTAAGCTCCATGTTAGACTATGCGTCACTGTACTCTGTTTTGGTTTATGTAGATTGCTTTATTTGCTGCAGTTCTAGGCGAGCTCATACCTGTATTTGCTGTGTCAGGTGCAGTAGAGAGTGCCATGCAGGAAGGAGAGGAGAGGAAGTGAGGCGATGGGCTGCACCTCAGCCAAGCAGTTGTCATCTGTACCCAGTGATGAAGAGGGCCGGGGTAAGGCCTACAGCAACGGAGATGCCTTCTCCGGTCAGTGTCCCATCTGTGCTCCCATCTTCATGTTATAATAATCTATACGATATTTATGGAACCAGAGACAGAATTTAATCTAAAATTCCTGACTCTGAATTAACTGTATATTGATTGAGGTAGCGAACCGAACCGTAGTGACGCTGAAGACTGAGGTAATGGCTGTTGAAAATTCAGCTTCACTATTACTGGAATAAATGACATGAATTTAATTGTAATAATATTTCACAATATTACTTTTTTTACTGTATTTTCTCTATATAAAATAAGCAAATGCAGCATTGGGGAGCGTAAGAGACATCTTTCAAAAACATTAAAAGCTTTCATTTATGTTTTGTGTTGTTTATACATATACATATTGTACTTCATCTAAAACTAAATTATAATTATTGTAATTGTAACTAAATGTTGACAACATTTCTACTGCTGCAGTACATTGATGAGCAAAAAATCGTCAGAAAAAACCCAGATGTGGGTCTAAATGAACTTGAGAACCAAGTGGTATATGTTTGAAGCTCTTTGTGGGGAATACAGTAAATTACCAGGCAGTTTTTGCAGTCCTATTAGTGTAAGTAGTGATTTAGCAGGTGCTTTTTACCAAAGTGAATTACAGTTCAGCTATTATAGAGACAATTCCCCCAGGAGGAACCTGGATTTCACTGAAACAGTGATCACAGGCCATGCCTTGTTCTTGTGGGGCTTGAACAAGTAACCTTAAAGTCAATTTAAAATAAAAATATTCCATTTTTTAGTTCCTGAATTTATTGGACATGATCCATTAGGCCCCAAAAAAAGTATGTCTTGTGGATCCGTTATCCACAATCCACTGCAAACGTACATTTTAGTTCCATCCTACTTTTTTGTTGAATATCCTGTTTGAATCAGAAAAGTCACTTAATTACTAAAGTAAAATGGATTAAGAATCCTGTTTCCAGTTGACTCTTTCTGTGTTGTAGATGAGTATAAACTGAAAGGAGTTGAGAAGGTGAAGTACATGCATGGAGAAGAGGAGCGGGCGAACTCACGAAACCAAGAGAACTTGGTAAAGATGGATACATCCTATATATATACATATGATACATTACGTATCTCCTCATAATCATTTTATCTTCCTGGAGAACATTTTTTTTTTCCTCTTGTATGCGTTTCAGGAAAAGAGCACACTTTTGCACAAGGGCAGGCATAAAGATGCCACCGGAAATGGTAATAAGATAAGGTGAGTTTGTGTTTGGTTTCAGCTCTTGAGTATTACCAATTCAGTAATAGAGAGAAGACGACCAATGAGATGTTCACCAAGCCTTGACTGTTCCTCAGTATCCACTCTTCGGAGAGCCAGCAGGAGTTCTTCAAGATGCTGGATGAGAAGATTGAAAAGGTATGTGACATAGCATCACTCATACTTAGAGTGAGGGGCTTTTTAGGAAAGTCCCTAAAGCCCAAAGTATACTTTTTACATGTTCAAGTGTGTCACCCTGTCTGATTCTATTGCCGTTAGACGGTGCATGTTTTGGTAACGCTTCCTTTTACAGTCCTCTTACCCATGTACTTACTATGTACTTATTATAGTAATTATAATTACTGGGTAATAACTACGTAGTAACCCTGAACCTACCCCTAACCCATGTACTTACCTTATATTAGCCAGTACTTTCTAGGTAAGTACACTGTAAGTCCTGTCCTGTAAAAGGAAGCGTTACCCATGTTTTTGCCTATTCAACATGTTGAATCTGCATTTGTCGGGTCGTGAAATGTCTGAGAATTGGCTTTCTGTAATCTGGTGATTGTCCGCGTTGGTCTGTCAGTGAAGTGTGAAATGGCCTTAAGTGATTTGATGAACGACTTTCGCTAAAGGCACCAGAATATCATATTGAGACTTTGAGATGGGTTGTTTAAAATTAGCACTAACAACCACTGGTCATCAGAACAGAACACCTTACACCGTGTCTATAGTCGGCGCAGAAATAGCCTGAGGCCATCTACACTGGATGTGTCAAAGTGACAGTTGCAAATCCATTTGTCCTTTGTGTCAGAAGTAGCAAGCGCATGGAGTGCTTCATCAGTTTGCTGTTGGAAATTTGTCATGTCGCACTACATCCAGCGTAGACAGTATCATATTATGAGGGGTTCTGTAGTCTTTTGTCACTTTGCGTCGCTCGCATCCGGTGTAGACACGGCGTTTGCATTGTAGTTGTGAGAAAATGAGAAAATCTAGCCTGTCTATATTTGCCATTTATTAGAGGTACTTTTACTTTTACAGGGACGGGACTACTGCTCGGAGGACGAGGATATGACATAGCATGCCGAGACGTTTGATTCGGGCCAACATTGAGTCAATCCTGTCCCAAAGTTCCTTACGACTCCTTTTCATGCCTCCTTACCCAACGGGTACTAATCTTCAAGAGCGTGGGGTTAAATGACTTTCAGCCCTGTTATTCACTCCGTTTACAGTCCACACTCTCCCAAATGTCTTACAGGTCAGTATTTGAGACTCTTGAGGACTAGTATTTAAACGGTAGGGGGGCACAGAAAGGCCACGGTTAAGGAGACTTGGGATTTGGCCCAAGTTTTGAATGGGAAAGCCATTTTCAGACTGTTCCTCAATCCCTTGCCTTACACTACCCATAAGCCTTCTCCTACTCATAGACTACATTCAGTGGAGAGAGCCATGCAGAGAATCCTTTGACATGGACACTACACATGGTGGACCAGCGGTGGAGATGACATCTCCTAAGGAGGACTTACTTACCGAGAGACTTGCGTGATTCTGTCCATGCTGTTGAGAAACAGGAAGTGAAAGAATATGGACAGAAACACAAGGCCATTTCTAGCATTCCAGTTTTTTTTTAGTTTTTTTATTATTATGTGAGCAAGTATTTTTCACCCACAGTGTTTTATGTACGTGTCTTTTTGACCTTTTTCTTTGAGTTGTTACAACGCTCAGGACAGCAGTGCTGTATGTATCATCACTAGATTTGTTGCTGGATGAGAGCAGTGCAGTTCCTTCAGGGCCGGTCTTGAGGACATGTTGGACAGTGGAGATAGATCACAGCATCTAGCCATGTTTAGAGACGCCAGTTACAGTATCTTAAGGTCATGTAGTTTGCAGATACTCATTTTGTTTTATATAACAGGAAGATGTCATACGTTCTCTTGACATTTATATTCACTTTTCTTTACCTGTAAACCAGTACAAGTTTCAAAACCAGCCTTCAGAAAGTTTTACACAGATAAGTTTTATTATCAGGAAGCGTTTCTTCCTTTTACAGTATGACAGTAACTTGCCATAGCCTTAAGCACACAGTGTTTTGTTTTCTGATATGAGAGACAACAGTAAGCCATTAATTTCTGTATTTCAAGACTAAAGTGAATAATACCCCACATGTATGCTTAGGTTCTCTATGTACCTACCACAGTTGGGCCAAACATTAATGCCAAAAATGCAGTAAATGTGATGCCGAGTGAAAGAATGAAAAAAATAAATACACATTGACCAACTAACCAAGGACAAGCAATGGCAACCGGTTTATTGATGTATATTCCAGCTCTGTATTGTTAATGTTAAAGTGTCTATTCACCCAAAAATGAAAATTGTCATTTACTCACATTGATGGAGCAAATCAAATATGGTAAAACAGAAGCTGAACCGAGCTTGCTTGACGTGCTAGAACAAACCTCAATGGTTCTTGCATGTGAAAGGGATAGTTCACCCTAAAATGGAAATTCAGTCATCATTTACTCCAAACCTGTATGAGTTTCTTTCTTGTATTTCATAGAATTTTTTCCCCATAATATGGAAGTCAATGGGGCTTCACCATATTTGCTTACCATATTTGATGAGCTCTATGTATGTGTTGATCAATGTTTTTATGTGAATGAAATACTACATTTATAAATGATCACGTCTCTTCAGAAGATTTGGATTAAACCCCTCGATTCATACAGATTACTTTTTTTTTTACATCTGAACTATTTTGAGCGTCAAAGTTTTGGTGGAATGGACTTTCAATGAAGACAGATTTCATCTTGTGTTTCGAAGTTGAACAAGTCTTCTGGATTTGGAATGACAGGGTGAGTAAATGAAGATGGTTTCAACAATAAAAACAATTTATTTTGCAGCTTTCTCCGTTTGATTTTTTGGGGGGAATTATGAAATGTGTAAAAAAAAAATTACACATCTGTCATTTCAAGTATTTGAGTAAAAAAAAAAAAAAGCAGTTCTGGTGTTGTCCAAGTGTAATACTGCAATAAGTTGTCTTATAAAACACAAATATTGTCCGTTCCTGAGATTATCTTGTCAATTCAGTCTCTCTTCAAGGACAATACAAGTTAATGAATGCATTTAAAGTTTTTTAAACCAGTCTCCATCAGTCATAATACTACCCGATCCACATATCAGATCATAATCTGCCTGGGTGCTCATCTCACGTCTGTAACCTCCGTTTCCGATGCTGTCGGCGGCCTTGGTCCTGGATGTCCACTGGAGGGTCAGGGGTCAGAAGGCCATCACACAGCCTCTGGTACACCAGACTGGAGTCAGAAGCCACTGCACACAAGAGCATCGGGACACCTCTGTCCAATATAGTCCGCAACCTAAAAAGATTCAATTGTCACATTTATTAAACCATAATAATCCGATTAAGTGATAAACTTTATAAAGCAGTCGTGTGCATTCCTGAAGTTTCTGGTCTTTACCTGAAACCACCTTATGATTGATAAATCTTTATATATTTTTTGTTAGTGATATAGACGTACATGCATCTAAAATGGAAATTCTATAAATCAAAGTTTCATTATTTATTAATGTTTGTAAATGCTATGAATAAAAGTTATTATAAAGCATTACCTTATGTTCTTTTACAATACTGTCACAAATTTTTATAGGGCAAATGCATTTATGTGAAAGCTGCTGCAAGCATTTTTTAAATAAATACACATTAGATGTTTGTAGTACCTGAAAAATACCCAAGAAATAGCCTAGGTGTCCTAGTAAAAAAGAAATGGGAGTTGGTTCTCAGCCAACAGCGTGAGCAAGGGGTGTGGCTACCTGTTTTCGACCAATAGCAGACAGGGAGTCTTTTAATTCCATTGTGTTACTAGGGGCTGTGTAAATCTCTTAACAGCCAGTGATGGGAGAAACTACGCCTTTTGAAACTGAATCAATTGAGCAACTGCTTCGCGAAACGATTCACTGTTTTGAAAGACCACGTGCTGACAGTAGCTGCAGGTCAAAATGGTGTAAATGCAATGAAAACTAATATGTAACATCAAAATATGTAATAATAATCATATAATTAAATATAAAAAGACGTTATTTTACTAATGCGTAGTGCTTGTTTTGTGTTATTTATTAAAAGAAACTAGGTTAATTAGAAGCAATTAAATATGCACCTTTTTGTATTATATAGCCGTACACATAAGTATTCAAATTCAATAAATTAATTAAAAATTAAACCACATTATAAACACTCGATCATAGGTTCACCAAACCAACACCATCTAGCAGAGTACGGTAAAATCGGAATTATGAAATGTTTCGAAACCAAGGTTTGTGACTTGCGAATTTGATACAACCCAGCAAACACAGAGGCCACGTCCGAAATCGCATACTCTCTTGAGCAGATACTTATTTTGAATAAGTAATTACTTCACGACCACTAAAAAAAGTATGTCCTATATAGTGTGTAGTATGAATGTAATCCAGATGTACACATTCGCCATGTTGTCATTATCATGTGACCTACCAGTACGTCGCTTTACTGCCATTTACAAATCATCTCCCGTGGTCTCATGGGACAGTAAAGTGTCCATCATACGCACACCTCAGAATCTCACCGGGAGTAGTAGGTCATCCGGGTACTTTTTGCCTACTCTTTTATGAGTCCTGTGAATTCGGACATAATTCTTTTGTCACATTTCGCATACTATATAGTAGGGAGGTAAAGTATGCGATTTCAGATGCAGCCAGAATGTTTCCTCCAATGCTCCCATATGGTTACCATTTTTATTGGAACCAAATAAGAAAATCCTGGGAACGTTCTCTGCAAGTTCTTTTTTTGGTAACGAAAAGCAAACCTTTCCAGAAGGTTGCAATGAGTTTTTTGTTTTGTTTGTGACCACCTAAATGGAACTTATACAGAACATCTAATGCTTATTTTTAGGTTTGTTTTGCCCAACATTGCCAAGTAGGTTTTATTTTTGACATCCTTAAAGGGCAATTGTTAGCTGGGAGGCTCAGAACCACTGCACGACTTACAGCAGCTTTGATACTTCACAGCCAAAGAGCTGCTTAGTAATGACAGTATGACTCTAATGCTGATTGTGTCTCCTACTCTCTGTGTTTGATGGATCTGTGTGAAGGCAGAGGGTAGATCATCTGAACTGCTTCTCCTTCCTTCTCTCGACCCTCCAGCAGAACCGCCTGTAACTCTGGGCAGGAAACTCCAACCACCTCCTTCCATTTACGCACTTCAAAAGGGAAAGACAAAAAAGGTTATTTAGTCTCTTCTTTATATTCCACTTCTAACTAACTAACTTCTACTTTGATTTTTCCTCACCCTCCGTCAGTTCCATGTACACCAGGAAAGCAGCATATACTTGAGCACTGTCACCGACATCTAAATGCATCAGGTCTTGGTACTAAAGAGGAGAACAAATGAAATGTCACTTGGCCAAACATGCATTGCATCAATTTATCATAACCGGAATGTGACTCGCTCTTACGACGGCGTGCTGCTGGATCCAGTTCGGAGGATCTGCTCGATTTGCTTCGTCCATCAAACCCTCCTCTTGCATTTTTCCATAAATCGCAAATGTAATCAATGCATGTAACAAAACGTGTGTTTTCAGATTTACCACGTGCACATACAATCGTATTCAGTCGTAAATTACGACTAACTGCGATGGCATGTCTTATGAATAATAAGTACGTTGCTTTGTAACTTTACTTGAGCGTCCAATCACGCGAGGAAGTTAATATTCACGAGGCAATATCAGAGACGTCCATTCGCCAGCTGAGCTGACTGGCGTTTACACACAAACGTCTGCAGTGTTCTAGTAGTAGACTATCCGTCCTAAATAGTGTTTATAGCCGAAAAAGAAGATAGCTGTCTCAAAGACTTAATAGTTTTTTCATGGACGTCTGCTTTCAGACCACCTTCCAAATTTCCCTGCTTCCCCGTGTACAGCCTGATAAGTTAGCAACAAGCTTTTGAACACAATCAGATTGTTATTGTCCTGTCTTTAATTGCGTCCGTGTAGGAAACACTACAGTATCTCAATGGGCCCACATTAAGTCACTTTGATTTGAGGAGGAATCTTTAATTATTTAGTCATCTAAAGATTGTACAGATGTCTGTCTGTCTATCTATCTCTCTATCTATTTATCTATCCATCTGTCTTAAGCAGTCAGACATACAAGTATCCTTTCACATTCGTTATTCACCTTACAAAAGAATTGTCCCTATTTGACAATAACAACAACAGACTTTTGTACTTGCCTGTAGTTTATAAAAAATAAACTACTTAAATTATTTTACTTACAATGGTCCACACTCCGCATAATATACAAAGTATAGCTATACTCTAGAAGACATTTATCAGAAATATTTCAAGTCTGTGTTCCTTAGCTTTTCTCTTTGGTACAGTGAATTAAAGTGAATTAATCCACACACATTTTATTTTTATTTTCAATCCCCCATTTGAAAAAGCTGCAACATATAATCTTCCTTGGCATTTGGTCTCTGTCCATGTCAAAATACTTTATTTTTCCTCTTTGAAATGTAATCTCTCGAAGCAAATAAAAAATGAGTAATGTGTTGATCTTTTAAAGATGGATTAAAACGACTGTAAACTAACTGCATTGAAAGTCATACAAATAACAAACACAATACACAATAGAAAAGGTATGATTATTATATACATGACTGTTCAAGCGCCTATCCAAAATACAGTAAAATGTGAAATATTTTTTACAATTTAACTATTTGAATATATTTTAAAATGTTTATTCCTGTGACGTAAGGCTGAATTTTCAGCATCATTACTCTAGTCTTCAGTGTCACATGATCCTTCAGAAATCATTCTAATATGACGATTTGCTGCTAAAAAAAAAAAAATCACTATTATTATCAGTGTGCTGCTCAACATTTTTGTGGAAACAGTGATACAGAATTCTTTAGTGAATAAAATGTTAAAATGAACAGCATTTATTCAGATGAAAATATCATTTTACATCATCACCTTACTGTCACTGTCCTTGCTGAATACTATTCATTTCTGAGGTTAGGGTGACATCATAGCGTTCACTTTTATGATATATCCAGATATATCCAGACCGTCTGAAAGTCCTCATGATGGTATACAGTTGGTATCTGATTCTTCACTTCACCCTTAACCATCTAAAACCACAACAAAGATGCAATGCACACATGTTTTACTCAACATTTTTTCTTTTGAAAAAAAAAAGTGTTTACATAGTTAACATGACAGCTTGCCTCCTTCTCTTCAGTAAGTAAAACTGCACCAGCCAGTGCACAGCAAACGGCCAGATAACGGTCAGCACCGCGGCGAAGGGGGGCGAGTTTAAAGTCCACCAGGACCATCTCTAAAACACAGATACAATTAAGCATTTCTGTTAATATAAAGCGGAATTTCATACTATTGCATTCCATGTATTTGGCGTCACATAAACGGACCTTTTTTGATGGCTTGGAGTTCAAAGTTTTGAGAGGAGTGATTTCAGCCTAAAACCAAGCATAAGCAAATAAATATTTAAATTAATAGCAACTTTAACTGTTCTCAAGGTTTTAATATAATTATTGAAGGTGATTATGTTGTTTAAAGGTATTTATTTACCATAAAATGTTTATGTTAAGATGCTGAAAATTCAGCTTTGTCATCACAGGGGGAAAAAATACATTTGAACATATATTATGTGTTTTTTTTTTTTACTGTAAATTTCATGTCTCATCCTCTTCCAGCTATTTTTTCTAGCTTGTTATGCTGCAAGATTTTGCAAACTGGTATTTCTTACCATATTATTTTAATGCAATGTCTTTATTATAAACACACTGGTTTCTAACACAAATTGTTTTGACATTTACTGCACAGAAAAAATAAGGTGGATTAAACAGATCCAGTCTTTGGAATCTACAGTCTAGACCTGTGGTTACATGTATTGAGCTATATATTTTGATGCTGGTCTTACTTGTGATGCCGTGAGATGTTCCAGTTTGGTCAGTCTGTGCAGCACATCTTGCATGTTGTCCTGTAACTGTGACAGTATCACAGCGATCTCTGTGTTAAACGCTCTTTTGTCCGCTCTGTCTTCTGTCTCCCAGCGCTGACCATTTCCTTGGAAACTGCACTCATGTTTGTCAGGTAGGCTAGTTCCCATTAACTGATGGCCTGAGAGTATATTAAAATCATCCATTTATTCCCAGACACATATCAAACATAGACACTGTTATATAATTAAACAGCATATAATGACTAAGCATTTAAATCTCATCTTACAAAGACATTATATTGAGAGATATAGAATAACAACTGATATTTATGTATTTTATGTAAGTCGTCTATACTGTTATAAAGATCGCATCGATTTATATCACATGCTATCAGAATTTCATATTATCTTTTGCCCATATAAATATCAGCAACTGCACCAAATTGAGTAAACTGAATAAATTGAGGTGTTTTTTTACTCCTTGAATTTGAGCTCCATATTCTTCTGTATCATACTATATGAGCCATAAAAGCTTGATATATCAAATATTGTACTCAACAAAAAACACATATGCAAAATAATTTTTCAGATTTTGTCTAAAGATTCAATAAACTCTTACATTTTATAAAAATATATATTTCTGACTATTATTTCATATCATTTACAGGGTTAAAATTTTCTGCAAGTGTGTATTTTCTTTCTTTTTATAATACAAATACAAGCCCATGGTGATGAAAGGAAATAAATATCAATATAAACTATAATGAATGCCACAATGCAATTTTAGAGTCTTGCCTTATTAGGAAATTATTTCCTAGGAGAAGTATAATAGTTTTCACTCCCATTGTAAGTTTATACAAATGCTGGTGGAAAATTGGCTTGTTGATCACATTATTGCTTGTTGACGTCATGGTGCTCAAGACTTATTCAAACACTGACTCGAGCCCAACCTCTTCCTCTGCCCGGGGAGATTCTGTCAGTTTGGACGGTTCCAAGTGTCGGCGGGTGGGGGACGGGGGGTGTAATTCCCTGTGGTTTTCCATCCTGACTCCCACACTGAGGCTCTCTGTTTCCCCCTTGTTGCATGTTGGCCCCAACCACGTTCACTTCTGCCAAATGGACCCCGGGAACTCCTGAACCCTAGGGAGAGCATCGCATACTACCATTTATTTAGCTCTGACATGACATGTCATGACAAACAAATGCATTTCTTCCTTTGGTTCTCTCTATCTCTCTCTCTCAAAAAAATGTCACAAGCCTATTCTTGTGCTAACTATCAATCGGTGGACTTCCGTTGATGTCACTTAATCCATGTTTTGCCAGTCATACTTTGTTTTTTGCCAGGAATCACACAACACTTCCAAATCTCTGCTGATCTATGATGCGTCAGAGTGACCTTATGGATTCAACCCAGTTATAGATCTCTTAATGATTGTTGTTTCAAGGGTTTGTCTGAATTTGAAAACTCTCAAAACCAAAGTATTCAATAAGTTAATCAGCTTATTGATAAGAGCATTAAAAGAACTGGAGTGAATCTCAAAAAACATAGCTAGGTCACATTGCACGCCAAAATTAAAAAAAACTTTATCTTTATTTATTCACCATTGTGATTGCATTACTCTTGAGTGATTTTCGTACTTTCCATTATTCATATACACTACCGTTGAAAAGTTTGGTATCAGTAAAGAAATCAATACTTTTTTTCTCCAATTATGCATTCAATTGATCAAAAGTCATTTGATCAGACTTTCACATTGTTACAAAAATTATATTTCAAATGAATGCTGTTCTTCTGAACTTTCCATTCATCAAAGAATACTGAAAAAAATATTATTGTTTCCACAACTGTTGATAATATTAAGAATAATTTCTTGAGCAGCAATTCAGCATATTAGAACATTTCTGAAGGATCATGTGACACTGAAGACTGGAGTAATGATGCTGTGTGTTCAGCTTTGATCACAGGAATAAATTACATTTGAAAACATATTCAAATAGAAAACTGTTATTTTAAATTGTAATAATATTTCACAATATTACAGCTTTTACTGTATTTTTGATCAAATAAATGCAAAACATTAAATAATTTTTCCAACCTTACTAATAAAATATGGGTTTTTTTATTATGCAAAATATATATTTTTACTTATTTTACTTGGTTTTGAGGTGCAATATGTTTTTGAGCCTGTGAAAGAATTGAAAACATCAGTATAAAGACTGTACCTTCTCTTGTGTTGCTGGTTTTTCCATTGAGCCACTGTATATCTCGCCATCTGAGTCATCTGGGTGATATTTGGTAAGAATGATGTCATTAAATAATATTTTTTAAACACACATTTTATAACAGACACTTTGTTTACATTATCTGCCTATGTAATTTCATTAAATGAATCTTTTCTAATCAGAATGCAAAAAACTAAATTTGTCCCTTAAAAATGTTGTATCCTCCATCACAACTTAAGGTTGGGCACAAAAATGCAAACTGATGGAAACTAAAACATACCATACGCCAGTTCCTCGTCTTCCTCCTCAGTGTTGAGAGAACTATGAGTGTCATTGGTTGAGGAGGACACACTGTTCTCCTCACTTTCATTAAACACTGGTAAACTTCCTCTCTCTGCTGCATGGGTGTTCGAGTTTGCAGAATAAAAAAGTTCTTAAATACAGTAGTAGGAATCATTTCAGGAGATTCAAACACATTTTACTCGCAAAAAACAGCTCTCTGTCTTGACAATTATTTCACTATATAAAGGCACAAAGCTGTTGCTTGTACCCTTCTTCTTCTACTCCATCTCCATGTCATCTTCTATATTTCCCCCATTACTTTAATTTTCCCCCTCTTCAACTTTCTCATCATCATCATCATCATCATCAACAACATTTCCATCTTTAGTGCTTCCTGTTTCTACATTCATTAAAATGTTAATTAAAGGAGCTCAAATAAGGTCAGATCTTATGGTTAAGGTATTTAAATAATTTTAGGAAAAGTACCTGTGGATAATGGTGCTGCTTTACTGGTTGCATCATCATCATCATCATCATCATCCTCCACTATTTCATAAAATGGATCAAGAGCGTCCAATAATTCTGCCATCCTGTCTGTGACTGGGAGGGTTTCTATTATCTATGATACAACATTTGATTGTTTGTGGTTTAAACTATTTTTAGTGATACCTCAATATGAGAGAGCTTCATCTCTGTAATCTATACAACTACCTACCAATTGTATTTCCTGAACATATTCCATCATGGCTTGGTCCTTTGATATGTTTCCCAAGGCTTTCCATGCCTCCCTGCAAACAACACGTGTCTGGGTTTAATATGCATATAATATGCATATCTGGCTTGTTGCTCAAGTTATTCTTTAAAGCATTCTTTAGATATAACAACATCAACATTTCTGTTAACATAAACACTAAATTCATTAAGAACATGTAGTTATAAATAATCTGAAAAATCATTCTTTCAGTGGATACGAATTACCATTTAGCCTTGCCAATAGGATCCCAAGAGTTTGGTTTTAGGGTGTTACAAGGTCCTGCTGTAGCTTGTTTGTAGTAACTGTATAACATAACCAGCATATCATCGGATAGGTCATAAGAGCCTGTGTGAAATGAAGAAAAAATGATTTTTCATGTTGTTGTTGTTGTTATTTATAAATGAAACCATGAAGTTCAATACTTGACATTCATATTTAGGTATTACCATCCTCAGGTAAATTTCTGATGACTTTGACAGCTGCTTCAAACCTCCTCTGAATAGATTTGGGATCTTCCATTGTCCTTCGTCTCATGGACAGGTCTGCACATCATGATTGACAGATGTCAGCAAATTAGATAAACATTTAACAAATAGACGTGGATGAAAAAGCAAATCACGTTAATAAGGTAATAATTTAAATGTAGACTTAATTCTTATTTGATATGTTAAATATATTTGATATTGAACAACTTTGGTTAATTAGTTTAATATCAGCAATTTCATTAACCTTTCGCCATACTAAGAAATCACCGTCTAAACTCTGAGAAATTGCCTTCAGGAGTAGGAAAAATGCCATTGAATAACAAAAAATAACTCTGAATAACTACTGAATAACTCACCTCCTGTGTTTCATCCATCTGAAAATGCTGCTAAGGTGTCCTAGGTATTAACTGAAACAGGTGCAGTTTGGGTGATGTAGTTTCCAATGAAGCTGACCTCCATAGTAATTAATAGAACGTAGAGCGCTTTAGCCTACAGGATCCACAATGCCTAGCGAAAGGATATTTAAACGTCTTTTACTCGTGCTAAGATATGAGCTGCCTCCAATAGATGGATTTAATATCATTTCTGACTATTCAGAATATATAGTAGTATACAGAAGTGTCTCTATTATAAAACAACATCCTAAAGTTGTCTTTTGTTTATTATTTTAACAAGAATTGGTTTTGAGATTAGTTTAACGTTACATTCATTTTAGTGCTTAAGAAGCATTGTTCACATTTTAATATCGCATTATTACTATATTTTATAAGATCGTCACTGTTAAATCGCTATCACCACGGTATAACTTAGCAGTATTGTATTATTTTTATATTATTAGCCTATCCCCGTTAGACATGCGGTTCACTGAAAAACTAACGATGATCTCATTAGCATACATTAAAGCTTAAAACACCAACACATAATGTATTATGTGCTCAAATGTTAACTAAAAAGAATGCCCACGACAGTGGACAAAACGCATTTGTTTAGTCTTCATTGTAAATCTGCTTCTCGTCAATATCACAAACTGGTCAGAAGTTGAACGGTGTTCCATTTCGCATCGCTGAGGAAAACGTACTCGTCTCCCATTGGTCCAAAACCGCTTCTCAGAGCCAGACACCCAATCACAGAACAGTGCGTAAAGCGCTGCGTTGAGAATTGTCGCACGTCTGAAACAGCGGAGCCAACGGGAATCCCACAATGCCAGGCGAGGGACCTCCTGTCGGAGAGTGAAGCTCCGCTGGTTTCAATGAAAGAGGGGGAGAAGAGTAATGCAGAGGGATGTAAGATGGCAGAGCTACAAATGTTGTTAGAGGAGGAAATCCCGGCAGGAAAAAGAGCCCTTGTGGAGAGCTACCAAAACCTTTCAAGGGTTGCGGAATATTGCGAGAACAATTATGTGCAGGTATGGATTGGAGGAATTACCTTTGCCTTTCATGTATTGTCTGAATCAGTGGGGATGTGATTGAAATGCGAGCACTGCATTTGTAGCATTACAGAGGATCCTTATCAAACGGTTATAAGGGCGCATTGAGGCATAATACACGCGATCAGTTCATTTAATCAGAATACTAAGCGTTTAATGTATTTGGATGATATTTGCGTTGTTTGACCCTGATAGACACAATGCACGAATTCACTTTCGGAGGGTGTGTCAGAGACGTGCCGCTTTCTCTACGATGGATGGAGACAGATTAGCTTTAAAAAAAAAGATATAATAGTTTAATGGTCAAAATATCGCCCAACAGATTGTTAGAAACCAATCTAGTTGTATGTTATCTAATAGCTTATTGCAGGGCATGCGGCGTCAATGTATCGACTGCAAATGTGTTTGAAGCCAAGACGTCATTTTCCGAACTAATACGTCATGCTCTGAACGTTCCAATGTTCTATTTGCTGAATTTTGCTGTTCGGTTTGTTTCGGGGTCCAGACGGGTGTCAAGCCCCGTGGGTGACAGTGTGAATGTGATGAAAGCCCAGATATTCGATTTTCATTTCAACCTCTAAACGCTATTGAACTTCATCCACGTTTTGGCAACGCTATAATAATATATGTCCGTGGAACGCGAAACCACCATGGGTTTGTTAAATACATGCGGTGATATCTTTTAATATGTGTGTGTTGAAAATGTGTATTGGCTGAAGTAGAATGGCGAGACGCCTGCCTAGACGCGAAATGTCGATGATGGTGTGAATAAGTTATTGCTGACACACCTGTGTTAATGTGTCGCTCGCTGAAACCTTTTCACTCACACACCTACAATAAAGCACGGAGACTGTTGGAAATGTCCAAATGTTGTATCATAGCCTTTAAGGATATTGATAAATAACTTGTTTTGATTGATATATTTAGTAAAATATGGGGATTATGTTATTAAGGCATGTATGTGATGCATACATGTGATGCTGCATATGAACATTCTGCTATGATAATGAGTGGGATAAGAAGGAAAGAATCATTTGCTTGTATAATTTAATCACATTCACAGGTCTATGTTTTATTGGACATTCAACAAAGGGACATTTAGGACGCTGATGATCAGTGTTCAGTGAGAAATGAAACTAACATTTATTTAGTATTTATTTGTTTTACCTTCATATTGTGTAAAAGCATCCCTGCAGTTAATATATGCTGTGATTTTGTAAAGGTTAGTAATACAAAACAAGTTCTTGAGACACATTACCTCTCATTAAACATTTTCTCTTTGAATTTCATCTGATGATCGGTGGGATGTTCTTGACGCAGATGTACCATTTGATTTGATTTCTCTCATGACCTGTTCTCATCAGAACTCAAAACTTTGTATAGATTAAAATATATATTGAACTTAGGAAAAACAGTATAAATATGTATTTTTTAAAGAAAGATTTCTAATATGTCTTGACAGGAGGAAGAGGGTTGTTTTAAAAAAATATGTCTTTTATGAGGTACCTATACTTTTGTCAGAACTGTTTTGTCAAAAATGATAAATGTGACATTGTTTTTGGGAATGTTTGGTCTGATATTTGGATTTATTAGGAAACTTATAGAAATATAATTTGATGATAAAATGTATTTAATGAAAAGTGTGTATTCAGACATAAATCTGACATTGATTCTTGTAGCCAGCAATACATTTTTTGCCAATACCTCAAACCATGCCTTGATACATTTAGGCAGTTTGATTACATTCAGGGTCGTGCTAATGAGATATCAACAGCTAAAAAAAAATGTATTAACTCACAAATACGCTGTACATCGAAAATATGGCTAACATGAACGCTTTAATTGAACTCTCTGTAAAATCCAGTATCTCAATTGGGGCATCCACAATGAAATATACACTTTAGTTTTGAAATAATATAGAAAAAACAAAACTAAGATCATCAATCATCTGATGACAGCTCATTATTGGATTGTGCAATGAGATGCAATGACAACAGTCAAGAAAGTCTTTCAGTCTTCTAAAATGTGCTAATATGATCCCATTAAGACATACACAACACAATTAGGTACTCAAGTTGTTGAAACAATTATATTTCTGCAGAAAAATGCATGTTAAAATAAATATATTCAAATTAAATATAATTAACATGCATTTTTCTTTGTTTTTTGTGCAAGAGTAATGTTAAGAGATTTAGTAGTGTTTAATGTATTGCTATGGTAATTTTGGAGAGTTTCTGTTATGTAGGTTTTTTGGGGGGTGCAGCATGAGGTTGGTTTGAGAACAGATTTATGTTAAATGTTTTTGTTTTATATTGCCATACTCATTCAGCAATTGTTATGCTATGCTAATGCTATCAAAGCATTGCATTTTTAAATATCACTTTCGCTTACCCCACCCTAAAGAGAAATTAAAATGTATAAGTACAAAATAAAAATCTGCCAGTTCTGCTTACTTAAACTTTGAATTTATTAACTTATAAAAATTATGCAACTGAACTGATTACCTCATATATTTAGAATTTTGCCAATCACCATATGATTGGTCGTCCATCAATCCATATTATCAATGTATCGTTAAAGCAGTCTCACAGTATGGTTATATGTTGGTACATTATGACTATAAAGACATTATAAAAAAAATACTTTTAGAAAGCTACAAAAACCATATGAGATTAAGAACTTGGGAATCTAATGATATATTTTGATATAAGCCAATGTCTTGAACCCTCATGTGAGTTCGTTTAGCAATGACACATTCTCAGATATTCATAGAGGACTAAATGACTCAAAGATGTTCCTCTTGTGGTTTTAGTGGGTGAATCGTACTCAAAAGGAGGACCAAAGCAGGAATGGGTGAATCATACTCAAAAAGAGGACCAAAACAGGGATCTTTGGCACTAGACAGAAGTTAGTCATGTCTTCTAAAGACTTGCACCATGCCCTTTAAATCGGTATCAAAACCATTTGTGAAAGAAATCCAGAATGCTTCATGAGTGATTCATGGATTAGTAATGTGTTAATTTGGGCGTGACAAAGAATGAGTACACTGCGATTCTAAAGTTTGGGTTTAATGCTTTTATTCAGCAAGGAAACTTTAAAATGATCAAAAATGACAATAAAGCATTTTATTAAATGAACAGAGTTTTTTAACTTTCCATTCATCAAAGAATTCTGAAAACAATTATTTTCAACATTAATAATGATAATAAAATGTTTCTTGAGCAGCAAATCCGCATATTAAAAAGATTTCTGAAGGATCGTGTGACGCTGAAGACTGGATTAATGACTTAAAATATTACTTTGTACTGTATTTTTAATCAAATAAATGCAGCCTTGGTGAGCTTAAGAAACTTCATTTAAATACTGTACATTAAAACTGATTTACCGACCTCAAACTTTTATATGTTCGTGTTCATTTAGAAATGATAGGAATCTTAGTCTACAGTAGACTTGATATGATGTTTTGGACCTAATAAGTGAAAACCAGGCAGTTCCTGATAATTTGAAGAAAATATAATATGTTATTAATTATTAAAACGTTATGCTTTAATGTCTTGCACCATCTGAATCAAGATATCACGAGTCATTGGCCAACAGTCTAGGAGGACATAGTGGAAAACCACAGGGAGGACATTCATGGGTCATTCATCTGTATCCCCCCGTGGCAACAGACACATGGTCTTAGAACAGCTGAGAAGCACTGACGTGTTGTAACAGGTGGTGTTTGAAGCAGACCTGGGGTCAGTGCTGCATGCTCATCGCAGTATAATTGTTAGTCACTATGAAATCAAAATGGACAATTCTTGTATTTTTAATGGAATATTTCAGTATTTATTATAAATTATTTATATTACGGGGCTGTTGAATGCTTGAATCTGGTTGGTTGATGAACATTCTAAGGTGGTGTGCAATTCGCCTTTGGCTAAGCCACACCCTAGAATGTAGATTGACCAATCACAGCGCAGCCAAGAATGAGCTCCCACAGAGGTCCGACACTTTTTCACAGCGCTCCATTGACTTTAACACAGGCGTCTCATATTTTTGGTCTCGGCAGGCTATTACTGTCGTAGTTTTGTCAAAAATATGGTTAAACGTTGTGCCTGGGGTTATTTCCCAGAGAGGTTGGAGGGGGGTGTCCGTTTTTTTCCCTTCCCAAATCGAAGTCAAATCCTGACAAGTGTCGTCTAACACACGCTGCTAATAAATACAACGTTATACTCGCGTAGTCCGTTTGCTTTGTAATAACGATTAT